AGAAGATGTGGTACATATCCACAATGGAATATTATTCGGCCATAAGAAGAAAACAAATACTACCATTTGCAACAACATGGATGGAGCTAGATGGTATTATGCTCAGTGAAATAAGCCAGGCAGAGAAAGACAAGTACCAAATGATTTCACTCATATGTGGAGTATAAGAACAAAGAAAAAACTGAAGGAACAATACAGCAGCAGACTCACAGAACCCAAGAGTGGACTAACAGTTACCAAAGGGAAAGGGACTGGGGAGGATGGGTGGGAAGGGAGGGATAAGGGAAAAAAAGGGGCATTACTTTTAGCAGACATAATGGAAGGGGGCGCAGGGGGAGGGCAGTACAACACAGAGAAGACAAGTAGTGATTCTATAGCATCTTACTATGCTGATGGACAGTGACTGTAATGGGGTATGTGGAGGGGACCTGACGATGGGGGGAGTCTAGTAGCCATAATGTTGCTACTGTAATTGTTTATTAATGATACTAAAATAAAAAAAATGAAGGAACAAAAGAAACAAAAAGAAAGCTTAAAGTGGTACCTACTTTCTTTTTGAAAGTATGAATATATTTTTTAAACCATCCAATTGAACACATGAATGTATTAACCTCATATGTCCATGGCAAGGAGCCAATATTTCATCTGTCATGGGGAGTATTAAGGGAGAAACACATTTTTTTTTCCTAGAAGCAAGAGAAGAATGTTTAACAGAATTAACATGAAAAAAAAGACAAAGAAACTAGTCCCTGAAATAAAGGCACCATTAATAAGGAAGAGTAATAATATTGCTCATTTATTGATGCTTCAAACTATTATTTTCCATTGTTGGGAATAACGCAATAGCAGTTCATTCTTATGTGTCACAATCGTCACATATATATGGATAAATATACAAAAATACTAACATTGCATGGTGACTAAGCATTTTTGGAATAAATCAAGTCTAAATCACAGCATGCATAAGTCACTTGTATCTAAACTTAATTTATACTGGCACAAATTTTCATTAGCATACCAATACTTTTTAAATGATGTGATAAAAATGTCTAGCTGCAGGAAGGGAGGGACTTCTAAAATGGCTAGGCAAGGAACACGGCAAATCCTCTCCCAAAAGAGCAATTACAAAAGTGGACAAAACTGGCAAAAACATCCAGTTAAAGACTCTGGAAACTGACCAAAATCGTATAACAAACTGAGAAGTGCTTATTCAAGAAAATCTACTGAAATCTCAGTAACAATGGTTGGAGTCTATGGTGTGTTATCCCGGAGCTGCTCCTCTTCCTTCCAGGTCTGAGACACAGAAGTTTCACCAGGAAAGAGCAGGCCCACAGGATAAGCAGTTAAGCTGCAAGAGGAGACTGACTTTATTTATTTAGGGCAAAGTGAGGAAAATTCCATGCCCAGGGGATTATCAAAAACAAACGTGATCTCAGTAGCTAACAATCAGGAAACATCATAGCTAGCCTGAAATCTCAATACTAACTGGGGCAAGCAATAAATCAACAAGGCAGTCATAAATTTAACAGGGAGATCCAGGGGATGAAACAGACAAGAAAGGCCCTTGATAAGATCCTATTTATCCCAAGTGGTCCAGAAGACTGTGCACATGAGTAAATCTGCATGCGTATTCAGGAGAAACTGCAGCAGGCCCGACAAGCTGCTCAACCCTGCCTGAACATAAAACACTGTGAATGTACAAAGTAAAAGCCAGGATATATTTGGAAAATGACTGTACTTTGAAATGGAACTGGCACAGGCCCTAACAAGCTACCCAGCCCTGGCTGAACATAAAATACTGTGAATGTAGAAAAAGCCAGGATATATTTGCACATGGCTGCAGTTTTAGTAGTTTGCATCTCCCCAAGCTGTACACATACATCCATCAGCAAAGGGTAGATATACCTTACTGCTTCAAGGTGTTTAAGTACAATCTCTGATCCATCACTGACTGACAACTAGGCTGTGCTGACCCAGGGCCTACCCTAACAAACCCAGGCTTAAATATATAAAAACAATGTCTATAAAAATGGAACAGAAACCAAAGCAGTCAGACACTGTGAGGAAACAGACTTAGTCCAAGCAGGTCATCAGGGCATGATGGGGTGAGAATCAGAATCCAGAGCTGCTATAATATATTATTTAAGATGTCCTGTTTTCATCCCTCCCCAAAAAAGGCACCAAAAACAAACAAACAAGAAGTTACAAGGTGTGCAAGAAAACAGAAAAATGTGACCTCCTTAGGAAAAAGCACTCAATAAAAACTGTCTATGAAGAGGCCCATACGTTTCACTTAGTAGACAAAGACTTCAAAACAGCTATTATAAATACAAATAAAAGAAATAATGTTTAGAGAATTAAAGGTAAGTATGATGGCAACAACTCATCAAATAAAAAATATCCATAAGGAGAGAGAAACTTTTTTAAGTACCAAATGGAAATTTTGGAGTTGAGAAGTATGACCGAAATGAAAAATTCACTATAGGTTCTCAACACTGTATTTGACCTGTTAGACAAATGAATCAGTGAATTCGAAGATAGAGCAATAAAGACTGTATAATCTGAAGAACAGGAGGAAAAATGAAGAGCGCCTCAGAGACCTATGGGACAACAGCAAATGTATCAACATACCTGTTATAGAAATCTCAGAAAGAGAAGAGATTGTATAGGGCAGAAAAAGTACTTCAAAAAATAATGTCCACTCACTTCCCAAATTTGATGGAAAACATTAACTACTTGCTTACCATCAAGTTCAACAAACTCCACGCAGGGAAAACACAAACAGATTCACACCTAAACACACCATAGTTAATCTGTTGAAAGACAAAAACAAAGAGAAAACCACCATGTTCTTTCTCTGTTCTAGAAACCAGTCCAGATACCACATTGCATTTAGCTGACCCCTGATGTAGAGTTTAGATGAGGGGTTTTGTTTGGGGGAATATGTGTACAGTGGTCACCTAATACTTGCTTTACAATGCGGTGACCTCCCTTAGAGCAATAAATGTCACTTCTAGAAATTTACCACAAGGAAATAATCGTGGTTGCACACAAAAATTTGAAAGCAAAGACTGTTATCCCATCTTGGATTATAACGATGAAAAAAAAACTAGACACAGCCAAACATCCATTAACAGAGGAGTGGCTCAAAAAGCTGAGGACATCCAAAAGATGCAATGTTATGCAGCCATGTCAACAATTATCGTGTGGTCTGGAAAGAGTTAAAGCAAATGTGGTCAAATATAAACATTTAGCTGAATTTAAGCAAAGACTATGTGGTGGTTCACTGCCAACTTTTCTGTAGGTTCGAAGTGTAAAAATAAAGTTAGGAACTTTTTTAAGCAAAAACAATTTTTGCTTAAATGTAAGTTAATAGACTTGTGTAGACCCATCTCCAGCTCATCAAACTCTATTGTCCATGTTAAAGATAATAAATCTAACACCCTTTCTTCACAGGAAAATGGTATAGAGTAACTGTAATATTTGTCTAACTACCTAGTGTCTGTTTCAATCACACTAAATGTAATTCTAGCTATACGTAACATACAAGATTTACCAAAAAACAATTTTGGTAAACCACAGTATGTCCTTTACAATCACCTTGTTGTAAGGACAAAGAGAAACTTGAGCTTAGGTTCTGAGTATTGGAGGGGGAAAAAAACTTGCTTTTACACATGAAACACACGAATTATCTTGGAAGACTTCCTGGGTGGGGGGGTGGAGGCTCTAGGTCCTGCAGGTGGGAATAGCATTTGGGTGAACCGACATCTGGGTTTTCTTTCAGGCTCAGACCTGGATTTACCGGGTGCTATTATTTGAAATCCTAACGAGGGAAATAAATTAATCTAGTAATTTGAGTACATAAAAATAAATTAATAAAAACCTTACGCATTTAAGTAAAACCAAGGGAGCTATTTCTATCTACAAGATAGCCAATCTTGAGCACAGGTCTTCAGCAACCCGCCATTAGACACCCCTATTAAATGAATAGACAGTGCGCTGTCCATCTCTACTTGAACCCGTTATGGACTGTGACCGCAGAGCAGAGTCATCGAAGACGAATTTTAGAAAACACGTCTCCGTTTTAAGAAACATTTTAATGCTAACATTCATTCTCATCAACTGGGAGTCAAACCCAAACCACCCGTGTGAAAAAATCAAAATCCAGGGCGATATAGAACAGGAATGTACTCCCCTTTAGACCCTAATCAATTCTTGCCCGTCAGCTTCCAAAGTTCTGATTTTTAAATACGAAACGGTTTACCCTTTCTTCCTGCACTTGTACGTCGCATCCCCCCAGAACTCGTCAAATCCCTTTAAACCCCCAACAGCGGGGCACGGTCCCCACCAGCTCCGCGAGCAGTCCCAGTTCCCACGCTCTGCAGTCTTGCGTTAACTCCGTAAAGCCCCGCCCTTCTCCGCTTAAGCCGTTTTCCTCCTCTCAGGCCCGCCCCTCCCCACCGGACTATTTGGTTGGCCAGCGCCCTTGTACGTAATTCACCCAGGCAACCCGGAAGCCGTGGTTGATACCGACCACTGTTATTGCCGGCGGGTCTAAGGTAAGGGCAACGTTGGGTGTCCCTGGGTGGCGGGGTCCCGGAGTTGGGAGGGGCACAAAGCGGAACCCCCAGCAGGAGCCGGACAAGCCCATCCCAACATTTTGAGGGTGCAGATGTACTGGACTTGCGGCCAAACTGAGTGGTCAACGTGGGCTTCCCCCTCCCCATTCCTCAGGAGCGCATCATGGCGACACCCCCTAAGCGGCGGGCTGTGGAGGTCACGGGGGAGAAAGTGCTACGCTATGAGGCCTTTGTCAGTGACGTGCTGCAGCGGAACCTGCGGTGAGTGATAGCTGGTAGGGGAGGCGGGGCATTTGTAACGTTCTACCGTGCGGAGCGGGGCGTTTGGAGTTGGGAGCCTAGCTTTCTGATTGGTGAGCGCTGCGTCCCGAGCCCGGCCCACGCGCCATTCAAGCGGGAAGGAGGGGCGACATCCGGGGTGCGATTTGGCGGGACCAGGCGGGCTTAGTAGAGCGTGTGCCTGCGCATGCGTGGCTTCTGATGGCACTTAATGGCACATAGCTAGTTACTGAAGCCGGAGGTGCAGTTTCAAATTCTGCTTTAGAGGTACTTGTGACCATACGTGTGAACACGTTATACCACGCCTCAGTTTCCTCATCTGTGAAATGGGAAAGTTGATGGAAGCTTTCTCATTCAGTGATTGGATTTTAAATAAAATGAGTTCTTGTAAAGGATTTAATGTGGATACTAGAGGCTCAATGAATATGAAATATTTTTATTACTATCATCATTAATCTGAGCAGGAAGTAGAGTGTTCAGAACTGGGATTGTGAGCATCCTAAAAGGGATGGAGAATTTTTCTACGGTGAGAATGGGACATTGTGTTTGGAGGGAGGCTTTGAAAGTAGAGCATAACAGTAATACTAATAAATTATAGCTAACACATGTAGAGAGTTACTATTTGGCAGGCACTATTCTGAATGCTTTATAGAAAGCACTTATTTAATCCTCTTAATGACTCTGTGAGGTAATACTTGTCATCCCTATTTTATAGATGGGGAAATTGAGTACAAAAGAGGTTACTTAATTGCCAAAGTTACACAGCTAGTAAAAAGAAGAGCCTAGATTCAAACACAAGCAATCAGACTTGGGGTCTAAATCTTCTTCATTTAAGTGCTTTTTTAGGGCACGGTGACATGAGAGCCTCAGAGGGTCATGATATGAGGTATTCCAAGAGGGAGAGGACTTCATGTCGGTTACCATTTTATTCTTGTTCCATCCTTTTTCATCAGAAAGGTGCTGGACCATCGCGACAAGGTATATGAGCAACTGGCCACATACCTTCAACTGAGAAATGTCATTGAGCAACTTCAGGTGAAGATGCCAGGCTTAGATACCTTCTGTGGGGGGGCAGGAGGGGTCAAGGGTGGGGGGCAAGAGGAGATAGCCCAAACCAATACCAGTCACCTGACCTAAAAGTTGACCACTGACCCCTACCTCTTTTTCCGTGGCCCTACAGGAAGCTAAGCACTCGGAGTTATATATGCAGGTGGATTTGGGCTATAACTTCTTCATTGACACACTGGTGTAAGTGTCTACCTGCCCTCTGAGCCCATTAGGGTTCAGCTTCCCCCTTTGCTTCATTCAGCAGATATTTCTTCTGAGTATTTACTATGTATCAGATGTTGTGCTGGGGATATGACAGTGAATAAAACAGGACAAAATCCTTGCTCTCCCAGAACTTCAATTTGGGAAAGGGAAGGGGAGGGGAGTAGAACAAAAGATCTTAAGTAAACTCTGTGGTATGCTAAACAGTGATAAGGACTTCCCTCATTTCCTCTAACCACTGTTTCCTCAGCCCAGACACTTCACGAATCTATGTGGCCCTTGGATATGGGTTTTTCCTGGAGTTGACATTAGCAGAAGCTCTCAAGTTCATTGATCGTAAGAGCAATCTCCTCACAGAGTAAGTCCAATCCATGAGGATAGTGTCTAAAAACACCACCCTTTGCAACACTCTTCTCCCTTTGCCCATAGCTGCTTGGGGTGATTCTTAGGGACCCATCTCCCCTCGTCCTCAGGGCTAGGTCTGAGGAAAGTAGAGATGCAAAGCCCAGCCCCCCAGGTGTAGCACATAATAAGCACTCAGTAAAAGGTCTTTGTATTGTTCATTCACAACATTTATTGGGTATCAGCTGTATTCCAGGCTCTGTGCTTGGCAGTGGGGAGGCAGCAGTGAACAAGGCAGAAGGGTTCCTGGAAGCCTTACATTTTAGAAGGACTATGCTGTCACACATAGGCACAGCCGACCAGATCCAGGATGTCTCAGCCTATAAATCAGTAACAGTAAAACAAGTTACCTCTCTGACTTCACCTCCTGCTAATTTTCCTGCTCCTTCGCTGTGCTCCCCCCATACTGACCTTCCACAGCCACTTAAACACCCCCAGAATGACCCCACCTCAGGGCAATTGCAGTTCTCTCTGCCAGCAGCATTCTTTCCCCCAGGTAGCTGCATGGCTTCCTTTCTCCTAACTCAGTTTAGTCTTATGTCACTTCCTCAACGAGGTCTTTAAAATCACAACCCTTGGCACTCCCGATTCCCCACTTGTTCTACTTTTCTTTTTTCCTTGGCATGTATGACCTCCTAATGTTACTGTGTAATGTATTTCTTTCTAGTGTCCCTTGCTTGCTCCCATTAGGATATAAGCTTACAAAAGGAGATACTTTGTTTATATCCCAAGTGACTAGAATAGTACCTAGCACATAGTAGTCACTCCGTGTTTGTAGAATGAATTTAAAAGGCTATGCTGGATACAGATTGAAGTGGGAATTGAAGCAAATCTGTGTTGATGGTGATGGGGAGGGAATGTGGGGAGAAAGTATGGGCTCCAGTTGAGTTTAAGGTCTTGTGCAGAGAAGGGGAATTGGGAAGTGGATAAGAGTTTTGAAATGTAGCTAGGGAAGGCATCCCAGAGGAAGTAACATTTGAAGCACTTGGTTGGGTGAGCAAGCCATGGGGCTATCTGGGGAGGAGCATTCCTGGCAGGGGGACCAGCATGCCTGACCAGTTAGAGGAACTGCCAAGAGGTGAGTATAGCTCAGCTGGAGTGAGTGAGGAGATGCTGAGCAATACACTTAGATTAACAACATCTCACAAGAGTGAATACCACTGACCTAAAATTCCTTCTGGGTTATATTTATCTTTATTCCTACATTCAGTTCTTTCAGAGTTGCCTCCCTTCTGTTTCAGTAATTCTCTTTTCAGTACTTCCCAGGATTTCAGTGGTAGTAGACCCAAAAGAGCCTCAGACCTGAGATTTCTAAATCTTATTGATCAGACCAACTGGTGAAGAGTTTAGTCAAGGGGCCTGCTTTCATGGGCCTATGCAATTCTGAACTGGTGGTCATTTAGACCAAGTCCATTTTTTTATAACAAAGCTTTCCTTGTTATGTCACAGTATTCCTGTACCTTTCAAACAGATTTTAATTTTTGAGGCTTGGTTGTTTCCCAAAAATGAAGTATTTAAGTTGTCAGTGCCTGCCTCCTTGTCTGTTCTTATGGATATGTTGAGCTGGTTCTGTTTGTGTGATGAGAAATATAATAGAATCTCTTATTGCTTTGTTATAATCAGTAAAACTTCCTGAAAGTTTATTTATTCTAGGAGATGAGGATTTGAGTCTGGGCAGCTCACTGTCCTCTTTAAAATACTTTGTAGCTTGGTACATACTTTAACTGTCTTTCCTTATATTATGTAACCAAAACAGCCTATCTGTCCTTCCTATTGTTTGCATATTTCTTTGTTTGGGGAGTGGGAGGAGCAGGTCTCTGTCAGTCTTCTTTCCTGATTACACAGAAAGGAGTACACACATCCACATCCACACTCATGAACAGACATGTCATTATAGAACAAACAGGATAACCATATGACTATTAACACTGCTTTACATATTAAATAAGTAGCAATAAATTAAACATATCCCTTTTGTGTTACAGCTAACATTTGATGAAGTAATTTTCCCTTTTTTTTAAAGTGTGAACTCAACTTTTATAGACTAAGCTTATACCATTGACTAGTTTTGTTCTCTTTTTGATGTGCACATTGTCCCTTAGAAGCTGATCAAGTTCATTCCTCTGTACTTTGAGCACTGTTCCAGATATTCTTGGAAGTATTCTTGCTCTCTGGCAATACCACCATGCTCTGTTTATATCCTTAAACATAGACTTAGCCATCATTTGATGACTTCAGTTTCCATTGAGTGGAGTAGCCATTCATTTATTCATCCAGCATACACTGGGTGCCTACTATGTGCCACACGCTGTTTTGATTCCTGGGGATACAGCAGGGAACAAAGCAGACCAAATCTCTGCTCTTACACAGCTTACATTCGAGTCAGGAGAGGCAGACAATGAACAATTAAGTAAATGATGTAGTGTGTCACTGGTTGACAGTGTTATAGAGAGCAGAGTGAAATGAAGGTAAACATTGCCTGGGGGGAAAATTGTAACTTTATATGGTGACAGATGGTAACTAGTCTTATTGTGATCATTTCACAATGTATACAAATACTGAATCAGTATAATATGCCCCTGAAACTAATACAACATTATATATCAATTATATGTCAATAATAAAAAAATCAAGAAAAGACAAACATTGGGAAGGGGCAGTTGCAGTTTTAACTAGAATACTTTATTGGATGAGAGAAATAGAAGAGTCCACTTTTTGGCTGAACAGCTGGAAGGACGGAATTGCCATTATCTGAGATGGAAAAGATAGGGGAGGAGCAGATTTGGAGGGGATTATTCAGCCTAGGACCTGTTAAGTGTGAGGGGCTTATTAGACATTGTGAGGTGGATTTTTTGATGTTAAAACTCCCAAGGCTGGAGTTTGAGAGAGAAGTCTGGACTGAAAATACAAATTTGGTAGATACTGATATGTAAGTGGGTTCATACTGATTTTTTTTTCCAATTTAACATTCTATGTGGTTGTCTTTGACTACTCTTAACTGTATTTGGTTTCCTTAAAACTGACTTCTTTATTAACAGATAGCTCAGCACATTGAAATCCACATTTCTTACCATGATTCCAAGATCCTGTGTGATCTCGCCCCTTCCCACCTCTTGGACCTTACCTTGTACTGCTTTCCTTCCACCATTCACTTAATTTCTAACACTCTGGCCTCCTACCTGCCTCTCAAAAAGCTTCCCTGCCTCTTGGATTTGTAGAGAAAAGACCCTCATACTATTTAACTGTTACTCATTCTTAGTCTTCAGAAAGGCCATCCTTGACCCTTTGTAGCAATTAGGATTCTTCTGGGTACAACTGGTCCCAATTGGCTTAGCTATAAGGAATTTACTGGTTTATGTGATCCAACAGCCTGGGTCCAGAGTGGTTTCAGACATCTCTAGTTTCCCTGTTGCTCTCTGGCACTTGGGGTCTTCCTTGAGTTTGCTTTTACACCTGATGTTCAACCCTTTGGTAAATCCTGTTGACTCTACCTTCAAAACAGACCCCAAATCCAATCATTTCTTATCACCTCAACTGCTGCTACTGTGGTCTGAGTCTCCGTTGCTCACCTGACTATTGCAACAGCCACCTCACTACACTTCTTGCTTCCATAGTAGCTCTCCTCACCCCCAGTCAATTCTCCACCCAACAGCCAGATGGATCCTGTAACCCCTAGCCATTTCACACCTGTGGGTAAAATTGTAACATTTCCAGAATATCTCGCCTGGCTTTAGTGTATTTGCATATCCTCAGGGGTGGAAAGAAGTTCATCTCCATATCAATGGGTAATTACCTGGGCAATGGAGGGTGTGTCTGAACCTGAGAGTTTAAAGGGAGGGGCTGGCTTGCTTGCTTGCTTCTTCAGGAGCAGAGGAGAGAGAAGGCCCTGGACTGCAGTTTGTAAGCAATAAACGGGTTTTAAACTTTATTTCTCCCTTTGACTGATTTTGGTTTTTAGAGGTATTTTGTCCCGGGATTTCCTCTCCCTGGACTTACATCTGGCGGCAGTCGGCACGGTGCCTCTGAACCCGAAATCTGTCATAGTCGGTGAGACCTTTGGGAGGACTGCTCCTGTGGATGATGGGGAGGCCCCAGTGGATGCAGCAGCAGAGAGTGCCACTTCACCTGTTATCCCCCCAGCTGTGGGGCTTCCAAGTTGGGAACCCCTAGTGGGGAATTGGGCTAGGGTAATGTACCTCTAAGAGGGGTGGGGCTTTCTCCAGAACTGGGGAAGGGTGGAAACACTGGAAGCTGCAGAATTAGCCCTCAGTGAGTTGGAAGACTGCATGGAGACCTTCAGGAGCCATGTAGTGGCTGCAATTGTAGGGTCTCTTTTCATCGAGATAGTGGAAAATGTTATACAGGAGAAAGAGGATTATCAAGAGATGTAGGCGGGAGAGAGACACACTTCAGCATCGCTTGGAGGAGCTGGGCGATAACCTATGGGATGCTGTTAAAGAGAGACAGTTACTGAAAAGGCAGCTCACACTCCTAGAAGATTCCTTAGCAGCGGCAAGGGGGGAGATGGCAGGAAAAGCCACGTTGCAGGAGGCCGTGGGGGAGGAGAGGAAAGAGTGGTGCCTTCAGCCCTGGAAATGGTGGAGGAGGAGCCATGGGTGGAGCAGCCCAAGGGAGAAGAGTAGGAGGTGGGGCCCTTGGCAGATCTGCTACCCAGGCCACCACTGGAGGTACCATCTTCTCCTGTTTTAAATGCCCACCCAGCTGTAATTAAGAAAATAAAAATGAAACAACCACAGGCTCCTCAGGGTGAGGAGCAGCCCCCTTCCCAGGTTGTGGAGCATTCCATGCTCTGTCCCTATACCCAGGATGAGCTGGTGGACATAGGTATCCGGTATAGGCAGAGGACGTCAGAATCTCTGCCTACATGGCTTTTGCATCTCTGGGATATGGGGATGGAAAACTTGTTGTGTCAGGTACTGAGATGAGTAGTAGAATGGCTTCCCTGACGACTCACCCTTCCCTCCGGCAGTGGTTGCAAAATGCCCATCACGCCTCAGGGAATCAGACACGCCTGGAATGGCTGACAGCTGCCATCAGGACAGTTTGGCCTAATCTTATGCAGAGATCCAACAGGTACTGCAGGAATTGGGTATGAAAAACATCTATAATATGGACCCCTAGGGCCCTGATGAGGAGGTGTTCACTATAGGAATGAGAAATCTGGTGCTGCATACAGCTCCCACATCTCTCTTTGGGTCCCTAGTGACTACTCTTGTCCCCCACCTACTGCAACCCATAAGTGAGGCTACTCATACTTTAGCAGATCTGGGGGAGGTTGAAACAATAAGGGCACGGAGGGAAGAACGGGCCACGACTGAAAGGAGACGTGCAAAAGGTCCCATGAAGGTCTCGAGGACCCAGATGTGGGTTGATTTGATAAAGGCTGGGGTAGTGAAAGAAAAACTCGATGGGCAGCCCAATGGGATCTTGTTAGAACTGTGGTACCAATTAAAGCCAGAGCAGCAGTTCCAGCTGCTGAGGTCCAGGACATGGAAACCAGAGTCAAAGCCTCATGCCCGGCCTGTGTCTTTGCAAAATTTAATGGAAAACAGTGCTCAGGATTTACCTGAGCCCTCACCTCCATAGGAGGATGATTGGGCATCACAGTTCGACTGAGGTGGGGGGTCAAAGTCCCCACCTTGGGGGCCATGGTAAGGAGGAGAGGCCACATGTAGAATTAGCAGTTCATTGGTCCCCCATGAATGTACAACATGTCCCGGCACTGGTGGACACAGGAGCTGAGTGTTCTTTGATTCATGGCAACTGTGAGTGTTTTCCTGGGACTCCTGCTGTGATAGACGGCTATGGGGGTAAGGCAATTAGAATGAAGAAAGCCAGATCCCATTGGGGATAGGGTGTTTACCCCCAAAGGAGTATACTGTACATTTTTCCCATCCCTGAATATATTTTGGGGGTAGATATCTTGCATGGCCTGTTGTTACAGACCACTGCAGGTTAGTTCAGACTGAGGGGTATGTGTGGTAAAGGCAGTTCTGAGGGGACGTGCTAACACCCATCTGTAGCTCTGCCTGTACCTTGGCGGATGACAAATACTAAGCAGCATAAATTGCCTGGGGGGCACAAGGAGATTGGAAACTCTACAGGAGTTGGAGAGGGTGGGCATCATAAAGCCCACTCATAGTCCTTTTAATTCCCCAGTGTAGCCAGTGAGAAAGCCAGACAGCTCCTGGCATATGACTGTAGACTACAGAGAAATGAATAAAGTCACACCCGTTTGCATGCTGCTGTCCCCTCTATAGCAGCCATGAACTGAGGACATATCATTATGTAGTAGACCTTGATAATGCTTTCTTCTCTATTGACACAGCACAGAGAAGACAAGTAATGAGTCCACAGCATCTTACTATGCTGATGGACAGTGACTCCAATGGGGGGGGGGGGACTTGATAATATGGGTGAATGTTGAAACCCAATGTTGTTCATGTGAAACTTTCACAAGATTGTATATCAGTGATACTTTAATTAAAAGAAAGGGGGAACGAGTACATTGTAAGGTGAGATTTCTGGAGGGGTGGCCTGTGGGTAAAATTGTAACATTTCCAGAACATCTCTTCTGGCTTTAGTGCATTTGCATATCCTCAGGGGTGGAGAGAAGTTCATCTCAGTATCAATGGGTAATTACCTGGGCAATGGAGGGTGTGTCTGAACCTGAGAGTTTAAAGGGAGGGGCTGGCTGGCTGGCTTGCTTGCTTCTTCAGGAGCAGAGGAGAGAGAAGGCCTTGAACTGCAGTTTGTAAGCAATAAATGGGTTTTAAACTTTATTTCTCCCTTTGACTGATTTTGGTTTTTAGGGGTATTTTGTCCTGGGATTTCCTGTCCCTGAACTTACATCACCCCTGCAGTCTTCTTTGATCACAACCCTCCCTTGGCTCCTATCTCTCTCAGAGGAAAAGTCATTTCCATGGCTTTGTAGGTTTTACACAATCTGTGCTCCCCACTTACCTCTCTGACCTCACCTCGTATACTTTCCCTTCACTTACTCTTCTCCAGCCACACTGGTCTCTTGCTATGCCTCAGAAGTGCTAGATACACTCCTACCTCAGCACCTTTGCATTTGCTCCCCACCCTGTTGTGTCTGGAACACTCATCCTCTGTATATCCATCCATACAATTCACTTCTTCATTTTAAGTCTTTCCTCAAATGCTTCTCAGTGAAGCCATTCTAAACACTGTAATTAGAATTGCAGCCCTACTTCACTTCTTGTCCTATCTTATTATTGTTTTTCATTGTAGCTATAACCATCTGACTTTCTATATTTCATTCCATCATTTGTCCCTCTTCATGAGAATTTGAGCTCCAGGAGGCCAAGATTCTTGTTTGTTGTGTTTACTGCTGTCTCCTCAGTACCTAAAACTGCCTGGCATAGAGCAGGGATTCAATAAATTTCTTTGAATCAGTGCAGTCCTGGCTATGACCAGATGTCTCTGCACAGGGGCAGGTCAGGTATTTGCATGTCCTACCACTTGCCGTGTGGGAGTCATCCAGGACACAGGTAGTTCTTGAAGTGATGAGGAAGCATCATCCTCATGATCGTAAGTGGGGCCCACTTTACACTTTCTTGTTTTTTCTTTCCAGGCTCAGCAACAGCCTCACCAAGGACTCCATGAATATCAAGGCGCATATCCGCATGTTGCTAGAGGTGAGAGCAGCTCTCCCAACTCCCAGACTCTTTATCTCCAAATGTGTTCAGGGTGGCTATCTGAGGAAGGGAGAGAGCAGAGATGGGAAGGACCACATTTCCCTCTAAACTGGAGCCAAGCTAGCTTTGAGGGAGGGGAGGTCAGAGCAAGCCTGGGGTAGGGCCTGGACTCAGTCCTTGTTTAATCTCTTCTGTCCTCTTTTTTCAGGGGCTTAGAGAACTACAAGGTATGCAAAATTTCCCAGAGAACCCTCACTATTGACTTCTCCCTCTCCCCAGATATTAAAGAGCGTGAATGCCGTTGAGTCACATGGACCTTCTTTTCCCCCTGAATCCCTACTGTTTGCTAAAGCACCCTGTTTCTAAAGCACAAAGTTATAGGAGACCCAGAGATCCAGTCTCTGTGTGAAACCCTTAAAGCCCCTTAAGTCCTGCCCCCAGCCTGGCTACACTTTTTGCCTCTTGACTTTTTGCTCTGCCCTGTCTTTGTCTCCTTGGCACCCTGGGCCCCCACCTGCACTTCTTTTCCGTAGACACCACTCTTTGAATTACCATAGAGAGTGGGCCGATTCAGGGTGAAGGTTTGTTGCCAAGGCAATACGCCTTTCATTCCTGCCCCTAAGATTTACCCCTCTCCCACACCCAAATCGTTCCTCAGGTTTCTTAAATCACACCCACGCCTCTCTGCCCAACTTTGGCCTCGCCCCTGCTAATAAATTCCAGCAAGCACCAATGGGCCCAGAGCCGGATCCCGCCCCGTCCCCTCCGTCCCGTCCGTATTGCTTGAGTGCAGCTTCCACGAATCAGTGCAGAGTGAGGTTCCGTCCCTTCATAGCTAGCGGCAGCTCAAGTCTGCCCTCCTGAAAGGCATTTAGTTTCTGCCACTCGATGCACCTTCGTTTGTCTGGCAACTGCCCTGCCATCCTACCTCTACTCCATTCTGCCGGCCTCCGTACAGCCTTGGTCTGACGCCCTCCCTGCTGGCTTGCTCCGCCCACTTCTACACAAGTTCTGCTTCCGCTGAGCTGCGTGGAGTACAGCACCGTCCTATTGGTTTTTTGGCAGCAGGCTAGGAGTCTCATCCGCCCCTCTCCCCAGAGGCAGTCAGTCTTCCACTAATCTGTGTAGGCCAATCAGTGCGAGGCAGGCGTCCCCAGAACCTTGGCAATTGCCTGCCGTCAGTCAGTCTTTCTTAAGCCAATTAGCTTGGCGCCCTGGCGGGGCTGAGCACGCCCCGTCCGGAACCCAGGCGGCCATCTGCGTTCCATCAGTTCCCCTTGGGCCAGTCGCGGCAGAGCTCCGTGCGGCAGCGCCCGCCTCGCCAAGCCTGGAAGCCGCGCGGTTGATCCTTGGCGCTTTGGCCAATCAGCGAACTGCGGGATGCACGGCACCTCCTTCGTGGGCCCACGTGAGCGGTGAGGACAGGCCGGGGTGGTTTGTAGGTGCTGCCGCCGCGCCTCCGCCACCGTCGTTGCCACCTCGAAGCCCGGGCCTGGGGGGCGGTGGGGCCGCGCATGGAGCCCCCGCCCCCCGGAGCTGCCAGCACTGCCGCTGCTCTACGCACAGGTGAGCCCGGGGCCTACAGGGTGGAAGGCCTGGTCCCTGACCCCACGTATCCTTCCCGCCCCCGCGCGGGGGGATGTGGCGTGGTGGCCTGCTGGTGCTCGACTCCCCACCGACACCACCGTGGCTGCTGGACATGCCTGTGGCATTTTCCCCTCCCTTCGCCCCCTTGTAGTAGATCTGACCGTGGCTTGACTCCCCTTCCTGTTTTATAATGGATTGGTTGGCGTGCTTCTATTTATCCCCACCCCACCTTATAGTGGACTCGTCCATGGTCTTGCCCCGCACCCCCACCTAGAGGGGACCAGGCTCTGGCATTGTCCAACTCATTAACAGTAGGTGCGTCTGAGTGTTTATATTTCTCCTATCAACTTTCTGGGGCCCCATCTGGGGCCATGTTTGTTCCACCCCTCTCGTTCCTTGTAGTGAATCAATCCGTAACATTGTACTCCCCCCGCCCCTCTTTAACAGTGAGTTATCTGTGAATTTGTATCCATGACTCCTCCAGTCCCCCAGTGCATCAGTCCATGACTTTCTCTCTCTCTCTCTCTCTCTCTCTCTCTCTCTCTCTCTCTCTCTCTCTCTCTCTCTCTCTCTCACACAACCATTTTACAGTGGATCAGTCTACACATCTGTATTCCCATCCCCCTAGTTATCAGCCCGTTGCCCATCCCCTCTTTTTTGTAGACTGTCACTCCAATCCTTGGACTTCTCCCTTCCTTTTAAAGTGGTCAGTTTCGTGTTTTATATCTCCCCATTTTCAGTAGTCCAATCCATGGCTTTGGCCCCCTGCTCGTTTAATCAGTTTGTGGGCTGGCTTTTCTCTCCCTCCACAATTGTGCAGGAATTAGTATGCTTTCCCTCTCTGCCTCCCTTTTGCCCTTTACACTCCCTCTCCTCTTCGCAGTGGGTCTGTTCTTTCACATTCCTGCTACCCATGTGCTTACATTCACATTCCCCATTCCCTCCCCTGAGTCCAGTGCTTTGTAATCCCTCCAGGAGGGTTAGCCTGTGTGCTTTTATTTTTCCCCTCCTTTCCTAATGGCGAATCCGTGGCTTTTCCTGCCCCCTCCCTCCTTCTTAGTGCATCAACCTATGTTCTTGTTAAACCTGGGTCTCTTTACTCTGTAACACTCCCTCACACACACTGTTAACCACTAAGGCATTCTGCCTCACTACAAAAAATGAATACATCAGTGGTTGCCATGCCAGTAGGAGCTAACATTTATCAAGCACCTATTATGTACCAGGCAAAGTGCTTTATATAAATGAGTCCATTTAATCCTCACCACAACCTTGTGAGATAAATACTGAGAAAACTTCACCATAGAGAGATTATAAATACCTTACTCAAAGGTGACCCAGTAAGTACCAGGTTAAGTTGCTCCCCTGAACACAGGACATTTTTGAGGCTCTCACTTCATCCCATTCCACTTGAGGTCCCACTCTTTAAACGCCAAATTAATTCCCATCTTGAAGCTTTTATTTTTTCTGCCTGCAGTGTCTCCATTCCACATCTTGTCTCAGCACCCAGCCACCCCAAACCCAGCAGCTTTGTAACCTTAAGTGATTTAACCATTTTCTCTCTGCTTCTGTTTCCTCATTTGTAAAATGGGGAAACATCACTGAATCCTCTCCAGTATAAATAAAGAATACCTGTGAGTTAAAAAAACAAGTAACCTCTTTGGCTTTACTTCCTATACTTACAAATGCCCCCACCCCCAACTCTGCTCCAGCCACACTGACCTCACTCATCCACAAACACACCAGGCACAATCCAGCCTCAGGACCTTTGCTGTATTTTCTGCCTGGAACACACTATCTCCATCTTTATGGTTCCTTTCGGTGCTCTGCTCAAATGTCAGCCCGTCCCTGACCATCTGAACTTGCACACCCTTCTCTGCTTTCTTTTGCCCTTTATCACCATTGGACACTGTGTAGTTTGCCAGTTTATTGTGGTTTTTTTTGTCTCTTCCCATTAGAATGGAAGTCCTGTGAGGCCTTACAGTTCTGTCTGCTTATTCACTGCTGGGTCTCCAGCGCCCAAATATACCTAGTATGTAGTAGGTGCTCAATAAGAATTTATTGCATGGATGAATGGGAAAAATATAATTTCAGACAAATCAGGAAGCAGGCAGATGGAGATTAATAGGGCATATGAGAGCTAGTTAGGAGGCTAGTTAGTTGGGACTGTTCATTCAGCAAACACTGACTGAGCACCTACTGAGCAGCAGACAATCTTCTTGGAGCAGACATTTGCTAAAAATGGTAGAGACAGACTATATAAATAAAACAAGTAATATTAGATACTATATTAGACAAGTGCTAAGGAGGAAAAATGAAGTAGGGAAGGTAGGAACTATTGGGGTAGTTGAAACCTTAGGCACAGTCCTCACTTAGGAGGTGACACTTAGGGCCCGAGGGAAGTCAGGGAGGGAGCCATAGTATCTAGGGGAAGAGTATACCAGGCAGAAGGAACAGCCAGTGCAAAGGCCCCTAGGTGGGATTATGCCTGGCATGTTCAAGGAACATAAAGGAAGCCAGTGGCTGGTGCAGAGTGGAGAGAGGAGGTAACGTTAGAGAGGCGGTGGGAGCCAGATGGTGTAGGCCATGGTGCTACATAAGGTTGGGAGGAAGGGGTTTGGGGACAGAAAAGACACATTAGCTAAGAGCTAACATTTGTTGAGGGTCCACCAGAGATAACTTTTGTGCCAGAGATACTTTTCTAAGTCCTTTACAAATATTGACATTTAATCCTTACTGAAGCCTTTGAGAATATGTGTATTTGGGGGATATTTTATTTTGAGAGATTTTTACAGATGCAGAAACAGATCCAGAGAGGTTGAGTAACTTGTTCAAGGTCACAGCTAGAACAAGGCAGAGGAATATGAGGCTGAAGACCCAGAGAGAAGAACAGATCTGCAAGGGTAGACAGGTTATTCAGCACATTGGGTCACACAGTGGAAGAATTAATTCTGCCTGGGAGATCTCAGAACTTGATGATCTTGTAAGAAAAGGTTTATCAGGTGTGAGTAGCAGGGAAAGCACTACTGGCCAGAACAGCACATATGTATCCTCAGAGATAGGAACTGAATGAAGTCAGGGTGCCCATAATGTAGCATGCTAAGATTGGGACCACCTCTAAGCCTTTGTATAAGCTGTTCCTTCTGCCTGAAGCATCCTTCCCACAGATGTCAGCATGGCTTGCTACCTCCTCTCCTTCAGCTCTCTGCTCAAATGTCACTTCCTCAGGGAAGCCCTCCCTGATCATCCTGTGTAAAATAGCATCCCTGTCACCTTCTAGGATCTTAGCTTTCTGGTCCTCTTATTTGTGAGGTGGCTAGGATCACTATGTCAAGCCACTACTAGAATCACTGCCTGGGTTTGGACCCCAGCCCTGCCAACTGCCAGCTGTGCAGCTTTGGGCAATTTACCTAACGTCTCTGCGCCTCCCATTTCCTCATCTGGTAAATGTGAGGATAATAATAATGCCCACCCCAATAGTGTTGATTGGAGGACTGAGTGAGTTAACATTAAAATCGTGTACAGCACACTGTAAGGGCTGTGTGACTGACTGGTTCCTTCTTTTTAAGTTAATATTTTTATTCTTAGCACACTCACAGGTGTCTAACAAGCTCTGAGACTGACCATCTCCAAAACAGACCTCCTGATCTCCTCACAAAACCTGCTCTCTCAAAGTGCTCCTATTTCAGTTGATCCCAGCTCCATCCTTGCAGATGGTC